CAGGTGATCAGGTTATGCAACCAAGATAAGCTTGGTAGAAGACCCTCAATGCGAACCTTCACCAGGTATGATGGTGAAGTCCGACTTATCGGGGCAACTACCAGGATGGTGATCCTTCGACCAAACTTGTAAAAGTTCAAACAAGCTCAGAACGAGGAAACCGCCTGACCAAAAATGTTGGGGATAACGAGGTGTTTGACCAAAGGTGTTGGAGATAGTAGTTATTTGATGAAAATCCTTTTTCTCACGTTTTAGGAAACTCCACGTGAGTCCTGAGGAACCCATTTCCCTAGTTTTAGAAGAAAAAACGCCCGATGGAGATAAAGGGGAAGGTTGAAGATGATCTGTTGGCTGGGCATAAGAAGCTTTTGGCTTAAGTTATTTGTTCAAAAATGAAGATTTGAGCCGGAATTTATAAGAACATCAGAGGATAGCTCAAATGTGGTGGGAAGAGCAAGAAACGCGAGATTGCATTAATCCCGTCCAGAAGACATTAGTTCCGAGAGCAGGCGTACATGCGCATGCAGCTATTAAATCAATATTGGCGCCTGGAATTCCAGCCTGAATATTAATTGAAGGGGGCACTGTTTGGGTTAAAACTGGAACTTTGGGCTCAAAATGAAGTTAGCCCAGAAGAAGGTATAGAAGGAAGGAAGCCCAAGGCTCAGCCGAAGCCCAGAAGGTGGAAGAAGCCCTTTTCCCGACTAAGTGCAGATCACTTGAGCCACTTGCTCACCTACCTAGAAGTCAAGTGGTGTAGACTAGCCAGCTAATCAGCCCAAAAGTACTTTACAATGGAAGTACAAGTAAAAAGCTGATGAGTCACTACCTTTCAGCCGCATTTGGGCAAGATCGATGCTGCAGGCAGCCAAGCCAAATCATCTATAAAAAGGGAAAGAGAAATCAGAGATAAGGACACTCAATCAAACAAACAAATACACAAACTCTGCTCAAGCTAGATTTGCATACGAAACTGTAGTCAGCACCAAGCCTTCATCATTTTCAGGATCAACCTTCACCAAAAGCTTTTGTAAAAGCTCTGCTACCTTGTCTGAATCTTGTTGTAGTTTCGATTTCCTCATGTAAACTCATTTTCCAATCTCCCATTCTAGCACTCAAACCCTTTGTAAATCACAAAGAGAGGAAGTTGCAAGACGATCAACCTTGCCTGACAAGGTGAAACCTTGCCCGACCCTTTTTGTTCAGTCATTTCATTCATAAATCTAGTAATATGATGTATACTTCCATCTATATCCAAGTTATTTCTAGCAAGTTTATGATTAAAAGGCTTCATGGTTATTGGGTCTGGTCGGTTTAATGGTACCCAACCATGTAAAAAATAAAGTTGGAATCCGCACTCATAGCTTGACCAGATCTAAGTTCTAACCTTTCAGGCATACAAAATTTATCAATCAAAAGTCCTTGGTTTCAAGGCATAAAAAAGAACTTTATGTGGACTTAACCCATCCACAATAATTCTTGATAACAAGAAGTCTGAAGTTACTTGGGGCACAAGTAATCAACCTATTTCTTAGTTTTACTTCTGTTATATTATGATTGCTATAGAACACTTCAGTATAGAATTAATTCTGATGGGAAGCCTCAAGGCCTATACTTAAGGCCCTACAAAGGCACCTATCTGGGTTCGTTTTGCTCTTCGGGCTCGGGTGATTAAAGTATAACAGTTGTAAAACTTCTGCAACAATGAAACAACCACTATATGTTTGAGTACTTGGTTAAGTTTTGATTGCGAGTCTCAAGGCCTACACCTAAGGTCCTACAAAGGCACATTTCATAGCTAACTTGGTCTCTCGGGCATATACAATTAAACTAAACATCTGTTTTACATCTGTCATGCTAAAGATGGCAGTGGCATGCCTGAAAACCTAAAGTTAATTTTGATTGTGAGCCTCAAGGCCTACACCCAAGGCCCCATAAAGGCACCTTTCAGAATTAACTCTATCCTTCTTTTACAACCGCCAATAAGTAGAAGCCCGACAGACAATATCAACCGGCGCCAACCTCTTGGGGAGCTGTGTGCTCATCGCCCAGGAAACGTCCCCAAAGAAAATTCCTCCAGACGAACAGTGCCACTGGGGTTGCAACGAAAGGGGCTCCGGATCGTCGTGATGGGCGGGGCTGGATCTACCATTTGCTCAAGGTCGACCAGATCTACCATCTGGCTTGCTAAGATTTGAGCTCATCCGACATAACGTCATTGAGCCACTTCTGCTCGAGGTCGACCAGATTTACCATCTGGCTTGCCTTGCCTCCCATGTCCATCTTTTTTAAGCAGAGCTTTTTTATTTTTCTGGGGCTTCGACGGCGACGAGGGAGAAAATGTGGCTGGCACGGGGAGGGGGACCAAGTCTACCATCTGGCTTGCCCTGCCGCCCCTATATTTTATTTTATTTTCCAAAAATTAAACCGACAAATTCATCAAGAGCAAGCAAGAAAAATAAGAAATCCGAGTTCACAACGCTTACGTGATGAGGACGTTGATGAGATCGGACGGCGAGGAAGGGGAGGGGCTGAGCTTGCAGAGGACGAAGACAACGAGATCGTCGAGCAGGCCGTCGATGAAATCTAACTTCGTGGTGGCGGTTGATCGGCGGAAGCTTCTAAGCTTTTTTCTTTGCAGCGTCGCCGCCTCCATGTTTAGCTTTCTTCTTCTTTTGCAGAATCTTCACATAACTCAAACTCTATCTTTCCCTGTGCGTATGGAAGAAGAAGAAAGCTTTTTTTTTTTTTTTTTTTTTGTAATTTTGTAATGTTTAATGTTTAATTTAATTTAATTTTAATATATTCGTGGAACCTTATTGATACGTAGTATTCAGTCATTGTCCTTGTGGATGTCACTTCATTAGTAAATGAGAGACTTAACAGTCAAACTAACGGATGTATGAGACTGTCCCAAAATTAACACTTAAGGTATGACTCTGGAACGAAAAAAAACTTCATGTACCAAATGTTGAAAACTATGAAACTTGAGGGTAATAAACTGAGATTTATCCAAAAATGAAATGTTAGTATAAAAGTTGCAATTGTTTACATGAAATGTTGTTTCTATTTTCAAGAGATAATAATGTCATTTGATTTTAAAGAATTTTTGTTATCTAAAATAACTTGTAAGCTTTTGATGAAAAAAACAACTACTTGTAAAGGTTTACACTTCCGCCCACCCAAAGAAAAATGCCACCAGCTCTTCTCCAGTAGAAGAAGCTCATGACATGGCTTCCGTCATTTCCCAAATCCTTCCAGTATCTTTTCATGTTCCTGCATACCAAATCCTTCTATCTACTATTTAAGTTATAAAAGAAAACAGCGTACACATTTTCTATTAGCAGAAAAAACTTTTGTAATACTAAATAAATGTTAACACCTAAAACCTAATAATTTTCTATAACTTAGATGGATCGGCGGTGAATATATAACTCACGGATTTCTTTAGAGATGGAACAACATGCATGGGCCACGGGTTAAAACCTCATTGTCTTCTATATATATATGTGTGTGTGTGTATAATATGTATTTATTTGTTTATATAGGAGTGGCAGCCCAAGTTGAAGTAATGGAGCTTGGAATAATAGTTGTTTGCAAGGCTGCTTCCAAGTAATCGATGAGTCGTGCGGATCCCACAATCCCACTACTACCGACTCTCGCAGATATCATTGATCTCGTGCAATTTTCAAACCTGGCACTGGCTGCAGGCTGGTATCCAATACCATCAGGCTTGGGGGACCTGAAGTCTACATGAGCAGCAGCACTAACCAAAAAGCCTGACAGGCCACTACAGTATACATATATCCGTCGCTTTTGGCAATGCAGCCATCTGGCTCGGAGGACCTGAAGTCTGCATGAGCAGCAGCACTAACCAAAAAGCCTGACAGGCCACTACAGTATACATATATCCGTCGCTTTTGGCAATGCAGATCCTCTGATTTGTTGGCACTTTTGATCCTCCATTTGTTTGGCATTTCTGAAATGTCTCCTTAGTAGGGATTGAGGAAACAATGGAATTATGTGTAATCAGTATCTTTTTCTCTGTTCGCAGTTGGAATTGGAAGGTTTTAATCCTTTTGTTCATGACAAGTTGAGGGAGTGATGAGCGAAAAAAAAAAAAAAAAAAGAAGAACATTTCAAGTTTTTCTACGTACCATGGTCCGTGCAAGGGAAAAAAAAGAAACTGGACGTAAGAGTCTTGTTTTATTGCTAAGAAGCCAATTATACAAACAAAAGGCCACGGCACTCGCTATACATTCATAAATTAAGAGACCCCAAGAGGGAGAATTGAAAAATGTAACTGTGACAACCAAGCCAATTCCAAGACCCTGATGCTGATTATAAATTAACCTTCCAATTAATATTTGCTTATTTTTCTCCAAAACTTGCTTTCCCGACGTGGATAATGTACTAGCATCATGTGCAAGATGGCTACCAAAGAAGTAGATAAATTATGCGTTGAATCACTAATGTTGTAGCTCGATGAATTTTCTGACGGACCCTTATTGAATGGACTTGGATTGGAAGCTTGATGTCTCAACTTTCCACTAATGGAGCCTTCATTTATTTCACTGTATAAATAAAAACCTGTAATATTCGGAATAACCCAGAAATAAGATTAGTTGCTTAATTTGGTAATAATTGGAAATGCGATTGATGCCAAAAAAAAAAAAAAGCAATGAACCTTTTGACTTACATGATTTATATCTGCTTAATAATGAATTGGAGGTGGGGGAGATCCATAAATGTAAACCGGCGGTGGTGTTTCCACCGGAGGTGGAGGGGACTTGTAGATGTAAGGTGGAGGAGGAGAGGGTGATGGTGGCGGTGGGGAGTTGTATTTGTATGGTGGAGGAGGTGATGGGGAAGGTGGGGGTGGGGAATTGTATTTGTATGGTGGAGGAGGAGATGGGGAAGGTGGTGGTGGGGAGTTGTATTTGTATGGCAGTGGAGGAGATGGGGAAGGTGGTGGTGGTGAGTTGTATTTGTATGGTGGTGGTGGAGATGAAGAAGGTGGTGGTGGAGACTTGTAGATGTAAGGGGGAGGAGGGGAGGGTGATGGTGGTGGTGGGGATTTGTAGTAGTATGGTGGTGGTGGTGAGTATTCTGGAGGTGGTGGAGATTTGTAGATGTAAGGGGGAGGAGGAGACGGTGATGGTGGAGGTGGAGATTTGTAGTAGTATGGTGGTGGTGGTGAGTATTCTGGGGGTGGTGGGGATTTGTAGATGTAAGGGAGAGGAGGGGAGGGTGATGGTGGAGGTGGAGATTTGTAGTAGTAGGGTGGTGGGGGAGACGGTGAGGGTGGAGGAGGGGACTTGTAGTAGTATGGAGGTGGGGGAGAAGGTGAAGGTGGTGGGGGAGACTTGTAATAGTAAGGGGGTGGAGGTGATGGTGATGGTGGTGGTGGTGATTTGTAGTAGTAAGGTGGAGGAGGTGAAGATGAAGGAGGTGGTGGGGATTTGTAATAATATGGTGGTGGTGGGGAGTATTTTGGGGGTGGTGGAGACTTGTAGTAATAAGGGGGTGGGGGAGAAGGAGATGGTGGTGGAGGAGACTTGTAGTAGTATGGAGGTGGAGGAGAAGGTGAAGGTGGTGGCGGTGATTTGTAGTAATATGGAGGTGGGAGAGAAGGAGACGGTGGTGGAGGAGACTTGTAGTAGTATGGGGGTGGGGGTGATGGTGATGGTGGTGGTGGTGATTTGTAGTAGTATGGTGGTGGGGGAGAATGAGACGGTGGTGGAGGAGACTTGTAGTAGTATGGGGTTGGTAGTTTTGGGGATGGGGGTGGTGGGGATTTGTAGTAGTATGGGGTTGGTGGGGGAGGAGACTTGTAGTAGTATGGGGTTGGAGGTTTTGGTGATGGTGGCGGTGGGGATTTGTAGTAGTATGGAGTTGGTGGCTTGGGTGATGGCGGAGGAGGAGACTTGTAGTAGTATGGAGTTGGTGGCTTGGGTGATGGTGGTGGAGGAGACTTGTAGTAGTATGGTGTTGGTGGTTTTGGTGATGGTGGTGGTGGAGATTTGTAGTAGTATGGGGTTGGTGGCTCGGGTGATGGGGGAGGAGGAGATTTATAGTAGTATGGAGTTGGTGGTTCGGGCGATGGTGGAGGAGGGGATTTGTAGTAGTATGGGGTTGGTGGCTTGGGTGATGGTGGAGGAGGGGATTTGTAGTAGTATGGGGTTGGTGGCTTGGGTGATGGTGGTGGTGGGGATTTGTAGTAGTATGGGGTTGGTGGTTTGGGCGATGGTGGTGGTGGGGATTTGTAGTAGTATGGGGTTGGTGGCTTGGGCGATGGTGGTGGTGGGGATTTGTAGTAGTATGGAGTTGGTGGTTTGGGCGATGGTGGTGGTGGGGATTTGTAGTAATATGGGGTTGGTGGCTTGGGCGATGGTGGTGGTGGGGATTTGTAGTAATATGGGGTTGGCGGCTTAGGCGATGGCGGTGGAGGAGACTTGTAGTAGTATGGGGTTGGCGGCTTGGGCGATGGTGGTGGTGGGGATTTGTAGTAATATGGGGTTTGGCGGCTTAGGCGATGGCGGTGGAGGAGACTTGTAGTAGTATGGGGTTGGCGGCTTGGGCGATGGTGGTGGTGGGGATTTGTAGTAATATGGGGTTGGCGGCTTAGGCGATGGCGGTGGAGGAGACTTGTAGTAGTATGGGGTTGGCGGCTTGGGCGATGGCGGTGGAGGAGACTTGTAGTAATATGGGGTTGGTGGCTTGGGTGATGGTGGAGGAGGAGAGTTGTAGTAGTATGGGGTTGGCGGCTTGGGTGATGGCGGTGGAGGAGACTTGTAGTAATATGGGGTTGGTGGCTTAGGTGATGGTGGAGGAGGAGAGTTGTAGTAGTATGGGGTTGGCGGCTTGGGTGATGGCGGTGGAGGGGACTTGTAGTAATATGGGGTTGGTGGCTTGGGTGATGGTGGTGGTGGTGACTTGTAAACGTATGCCGGAGGTGGTGGTGACTTGTAGTAGTAAACCGGTGGTGGTGGTGACTTGTAGTAGTACTTGGGTGGCGGTGGAGGTGGTGACTTGTAGACGTAAGTAGGCGTAGGCGGTGGCGGTGACTTGTAAACGTAAGGAGGAGGATATTGGGGCTTGGACTTTTCACACTCCTCGTACGGAGTCTTGGAAGCATAAGCAAATTTGCCAGCCTCGAGCACAACTTCATATTTAGTCTTGGATTTCACTTTGAGTTTGGCACCCTTGTCACCCTTGTTTAGCTTAGTGGGAATGTTGCATTTCGAACCCTTTGGTGCTGCGTAGAGCTTGGCCGTGCAAGCCTTGGCTCCATATTTGCCATACTCAAAGCCAGGGATAACTACGCTGAATTTCCCATTGTTCTTAGTTTTACCGTAGGCCTTGATTTCCTTCTTGCCATTCCAGCAAGTTACCACAACAACTGAGCCTGCGGTGCACAAATAATAAAAGGTATTGGAACTTTCTCTTTATGAGATACAACACTCGTTTTCCGACAACAACAACAACAAAAAATTATATACTAATTAGTTAATTAATCAAATGATTAGTCGTGTTCCACTAACTAGGTGTGATGCATGTCAATACCAAATTCCTGAGTTGAAAAGGACCACGCAGACTTTGGACACGACCACGAAAACGCGAAGTTGTTCTTACATATTATTTGTAGCACGTTACATTTTCTTTATTAAATTAAAATAGGACAAATTAAGCACTGTTGATTAATATTTATGACATTAATTTGAAACCATGGTGTTTCCATACTTTTAGCAAATATTACTTAAATTAATTTTTATAACTCAAAGAAATAAAATAAAATAAAACCGGGATTACTATTTTTTTTCCTTGATCTCAAGGAAAGATTAAACCGCAACATGTGTGACTATATTATTATATGCCTCAATTTATCGAAAGTGAGCCATCAGTTTGGAAGGATCACATATACAGTATACTACCCAAATGACTCATTGGGACCAGCAGAGTTGTAAAACATCAAAGACCAAGATTTGGAACATAAACAAAGATATGGTACGAAAGATTAAAGCCAATATTTAAATAAATTTTGAGAAAATGAATTTTTGAGAAAAGTACCTGTGGAGTGCTTCTTGTCGTGTGACTTCGATGGATTCTTCCAGTCATAGCATCTGTAGCAGTAGACCCTTCCGACAACCTTCACCAATGGTGGCTTCGGATAGTAAGGAGCTGGTGGTGGTGGAGAAGTGTAGTAGTAAGGGGTTGGTGGTGGTGGAGACTTGTAATAGTAAGGAGAAGGAGGATACGGTGAGGGTGGAGGAGGAGACTTGTAATAGTATGGGGTTGGGGGTTTTGGGGCTGGTGGTGGTGGTGATTTGTAATAGTATGGAGTTGGTGGTTTGGGTGAAGGTGGTGGTGGTGGTGGAGACTTGTAGTAGTATGGGGTTGGTGGTTTTGGTGATGGTGGAGGTGGGGATTTGTAGTAGTAAGGTGGAGGAGGTGAAGGAGAAGGAGGTGGTGGGGATTTGTAGTAGTATGGTGGTGGTGGGGAGTATTCTGGGGGTGGTGGCGACTTGTAGTAGTATGGGGTTGGTGATTTTGGTGATGGTGGGGGTGGGGATTTATAGTAGTAAGGTGGAGGAGGTGAAGGAGAAGGAGGTGGTGGGGATTTGTAGTAGTATGGTGGTGGTGGGGAGTATTCTGGGGGTGGTGGAGACTTGTAGTAGTACGGGGTTGGTGGTTTTGGTGATGGTGGGGGTGGTGATTTGTAGTAGTAAGGGGGAGGAGGTGAAGGAGAAGGAGGTGGTGGGGATTTGTAGTAGTATGGTGGTGGTGGGGAGTACTCCGGGGGTGGTGGAGACTTGTAGTAGTAAGGAGGAGGTGGAGAGGGAGAAGGTGGTGGTGGAGACTTGTAGTAATATGGTGGTGGCGGTGAAGGGGAAGGTGGTGGTGGAGACTTGTAAACATATGGTGGTGGTGGGGAGGGTGATGGAGGAGGTGGTGATTTGTACTCATACGGTGGTGGGGGAGACGGTGATGGTGGTGGTGGAGACTTGTACTCATATGGTGGTGGAGGAGATGGTGACGGTGGTGGTGGAGACTTGTACTCATATGGTGGTGGTGGAGAAGGTGATGGCGGTGGCGGGGACTTGTACACATAAGGTGGTGGTGGTGATGGTGATGGAGGTGGCGGAGACTTGTAGACATAAGGCGGTGGCGGTGAAGGCGATGGTGGTGGTGGAGACTTGTAGACATATGGTGGTGGTGGTGGTGAGCTGTAAACGTAAGGTGGTGGTGGTGGTGAAGAGTAGGGATAAGCACTTGCTTCTACTGAACCCACATTGCTTGAAATCACCACCAGTGTGGCAGCTAACGCCACTGCCATTTGAGGCCAAAACCGACCCCAAGAGGGGCCGCCGCCCACACTCCTCATGGGTGTTACTACAATTTTCTTACCACCTCTGGTCAATGTGGTTAGTTTCACAAATTTTCTCGGGAAAATTGGGGAATGAAGAGAGAATTTGCTGAAGGCCGGAGAAGCCTTGAGCTGTTTTGGTTTGGAGTGATGACTTGGTAGATGCATGGTATATTGTGTTTTATAGGGAGTGCGAGTCGTTGAGAGAGAGCTGTCACAAAGGACCAATTCTAATGGACTCTTTGATTTAATGCATCAAATGGGGTCACTCTAGCTGGCCTTATCTAATTTTTAATACACTGTTTGGATCACTTGGGGCTCCCCCAGTTGAGATTTAAGAAGCAATATTATCCGTTGATAATACTGCAACATTAAAACAGTAAATTTTTAATAATTCCACTTCTTGGGCTCGTTCTCTTTGTCTACACTTTTATTCTATTTTTGCTTTTAAAAAAAAATCAGTGCAATAAAATGTATCATAGCGTTTTAGTAGTGCTATTCATATATTCATTTTAATTCCTCACACATTTTTTTTAATTTTTGGTCGTCAAATCGAATGAATTGAAGAACATAAATAGTAAAAACTTAACAAGAGTATGTGAGAAATAAAAATAAATGTGTGAATAACACTTTTAATAGTGTTTACATGACCACAATGGTTTGAAATTCTTGTTTTTCTTTGGGCAGATAGATATTTGGCACATATTTGGGTCAACGTTTCTAAAAGATAAATAAATATGAGGAAATTGTGAGATCTGATATGTTGCTAGAAATGCCATGTGAAAGCTTCCATATGGCACATGTATATATTATTGTCAGTTTTTCTCTTACTTTTCAAATTGTTTTTTCCATATTTGTTAATTACAATCTAAAAACTAATTATTATTATAAAGTTGTTTAAGCAAAAGAAATCCAAAAGGTTAAAGTAAATTAAAAAGGGTAATAATGAAGGTCCTAATAAGAAAGTTGGTGGCCGGTAGAGGAAAAAGATTCGTGCAGGCAGAAGGTTTAGTGGCAAATAAACAAAAGCAAAACAAACAGAATATTGCACGTTCATTGCATGTTCATTGGCAGGCTACCTATGATACTAGCTTATATTTATTTTCAAATGCATGTTTTTTTAGAAGATGAGTTTCATCGTAAAATTAATGACATATAAGGAGTAGTTTTTATTTTCATTGATATGAGGCTCTTTTATCTTTACATTCTTACATGTGACAGATTTTTAAACTAAATACGTGAACAACAAGAATTAGGTGACATGAAGCACTTAGGGCTTAGCTATTGGGCTTACACGTGGGTCAACCTACTTTGATACCATGAAGGAGATGAGATTCCACCATAAAACAAATTCGCAATATAAAAAGTAGTCTAACATTTTATAAACTCTTACAAGATTTTTCTTTCACCGTTGCAAGACTCTATACCTTTACATTCAAACAACACCATGTGAAAATTCAATCAAGTGGTTTCTGCAGCCTTTGCAGGTGATTACAACCAAAGAGTGTAAAAGAAAAAGAAAAAGAAAAAAAGGACCGAGGAGCAAAGATTATTAATTATTTGAATTTCATTTCGTGCAAGAAGTAATAATGCATGTTTCCTTTTAACATACCGGACCATCCTCGTACGATGTTCCTTTGCTGCACAAATAGGCCACCTTCCTCATACGTTGTTCCTTTGCTGCACACACAGGCTACCTCATACTCATCATACCATGATTTGAACTCTCAGCTTTTTTTCTTACGAAAACTAATGGAAAGAGTGAAAACTTTAAGTTTTAACAATAAAGACAAAATAAAGGGTAAAGTAAATAGTACCCTGTTTGACTTTTTAGTGTAAAAATATAGTTTTTCGTTAAAATGAACAGTACCGTAGACGTTTCGTTAAAACTCCCTTTCTTCTTTCTCTTTTCCTTTTTCTCAGAATAGGGATCATTTGGCTGACTTTACCTTTCACTAATATCCCACTCATCCATTTGATGGATTGAAATTTTCTTTTGGTAAATTTGAAATATAAAGTAATTTATTTATTTATTATATATAAACACGATATTATTACATAAGTCTCTAATTTAGACATAAAAATAAAATATTTGAACACGAGACGTAGTGGTTTGAAAAATTTGAAACTCTTCAAAATTAAGGTTAAAAAAGTCATGTAATGAAGGGCTTGGGACAGTAAATTTTTTAATGTTATTACCTAACATGCCCCGTAAACCCTAAACCCTAATTGGAAGGTACGAGGCACATTACTAAACTCTATTGAGATCGCAGCCAAATTACCCTAAGCATCCATCCAATTGCACCGTAGCTACAAGGTCTGTGACCACAGTGGATCAGATTTGGGGGCGGTGAGTAATTAAAATTTAAAACAGTGGTTAGAACAGCCAACCCAGAAGTGCACATGGGATTAGTAACATACTAACTTACAACCATTTCCAATTTGCTTACAAGTCAAGCTTTCAAGTATATTTCAAAAGGAACAAATAACATTAAATAATGTACTTAAATTGTTACTCAATTATTCCACTTCTTCTGCATGATAAAATAGAAATACCAGTACCATGTCACTTTTGTTGGTGCATTGCTCCAATCAGTTCACTAAAATTAGATATACTTCTTGTCAAAAATTATGATAAGGGTTAATGGGCTGCCCCTATGAGATTCAAGCAAATTTGTAAAAGTTTAAACATACTCCTTTCACTCTTTTTGACTATCAATGCCGTGCCATCAAGCAACTCTGCAAGTCTAAATAAGCCAATATTCAAGATATAAAGCTAGGGGGACTTGTTGAGGCTAAGGACATATTACAACAACACTTCTTTTTATTAATTTTTTTAAATGCTCCCTCTTTTGTTATGACAACCGATTTACATGAAACGTGTTCACTGTCACCGTGACATTTGAAACTAAGAATACAAATGCTATATATTATATTTGTTGAATTTGTCAGGTCGACGGGCCGAGGGCCCACTCCAACAACACCGATACTGTCCTCACTTTACCACCTGCCCAATTCTCAGGTGTGGGATTTTATCACAAAAGGCCTTGGTGTTAGTTAGAGTGCGGTAATTCTATTTAAATGGGTCTTTCTTCTTCCCTCTGTCCGATGTGGGACAAATTGTGTTTCAACAATATTATTGAATCAGGAGGTTTGTAGTGGTAAACTCATTCTATGTAAATTTTTTTAAAGTGAAAGTAATGCATGAAGATTTGAAATTAGAATATTAAGACAAGAAAAAAACAAAACAAACAAAAATAGGAGTCCCTACCAAATGGGCCAATGGTCATGATGTTGAAATCATGGAGTAAATGAGAGGCAAATGTAAGGAAAGACTTACCAATTTTGAGTAGGGAATTATGTTAAGATCATTAAAGGACCACATCATGCACCCACCTGCTCTTATTTCCAAAAAAAAAAAATCAGTTTAGGTATGGTGGCACAGATTGACTAAAAATATAGGCTATGTGTTCACCTAACATTGCAACACCTTTTTGTCTGTCATTTTTGTCTGTCATTTTGCTATTTCCGCAATTTAATTGGCAGAAATCAACATACATTGACCTTGTATTAGCATTTCTTTTCTCTTCTCTTTTCTTTAGTTAATGTGTTTCGATAGTTGGTTATACTAGACAATTTGATTTCACAACTATGTAAGTCAAGCTCAATACAAAACTCAAACAACTACGTAAATCTCTACAATTTTTTTTCATGTTAACATCAGTTGGAACATAAACTCAAACAACTACATATATCTAGATACTATACACTTCTAGTTATTGTTAAACTTCAATATTGGGTCAATAATTTTTACTACGTACGTCAATGTGTAAATTAACAATCAACAAGTCCGATCTATTTGTATTGTGATGTGGCTTGTTGTTCGTCTTGCTCTCTATATCACATCTTTTGTGTTTTGCTCCACGCTTTGGGCTAATACTATATAAAGATACGTATAGTATAGTTATTGAAAATATACAGACATGTGGTACCAATCAAAGGAATGTGTCAAGGTTTTAACACAATTGTGATGTTGTACTAATAGATTTTCAAACTTTCGATGATGATTCATCAGAGAGTTAAATGTGTCTAACATTTTATTATTCAAACTATTTAGCATGGTTTGTCACATTGCTCATCTAAATGAAAGTTTAATTGATCAATAGTCAAGATTGATAGTTTAACCATATAAGAATGCATACAATTTCCATTTTAAGAATACCATTTAATAATAGATCAGTGGCATAAAATATGAAAATTCAACAATTTTTTTTTGTTTTATTAATTGGCCAGATAGCTTATGTAGCTTTCAAGAAAGTTTTAGATCTGTCGAATATCCGAAACTATGCAAGTATAATCCATTTCTCCAATAAAAGCCTTACATTTTTTTTTTGAACAAACGATATTATCTATATATACTAAGGGAGAGGGGTGGACTTTGTCTCACAATGGGCTAGCAATAATGTGGTTCAAATTCGCATTTGGTGAGAATCGAATTTAAAACCTCTCACTTACAAGCGAAGATGAATACCACAACACAGTTGTACAAAGTGGGAACCCTACACTCTTATAAGCCAACACAAAATTTAATTCCAATAACAACACCTGTGTTGTGGCCTATTTTACCGAAGGTAGAGAGAGAGGGTGCAGCGGAGAGAGAGATGAAAATGTGTGTTATTCCCTCATACCTGGTGATTTTATTTATAGTAAACTGGATAGAATTCCTTACTTTGCAAATTAATATCACAACCACCTGGTCATTATACGATATAATCAGAAAACTTCAAGTTGCTCTCAAATTTTTTCCGGTAACATGGAAGAAGAAGAGAAAAAAAAAACACTAAGGAACAACTAGTCTAGCTCTAGCAACTACAAAATAGTCATCAAAATGAGTTTAAACTAAACATGGAGGAGGCTCCACAAGTTCCTCTCGTTCATTATTTTTGTAATTAGTAAATTGTTAAGGATAATTTAAGATACATAATTATTTTCATTGGTATATTTATATTGCAATGTTTGAAGAGAAACAGTTTAAAACAAATCGGTTAGGTCGGTATATATATATTGCAATGTTTAAAGAGAAAGAGTTTAAAACAAATCCGACCTAACGGATTCGAAGAATCAGCAACTTAACGCTAAGTTAAACTCCCAAATCGACAAATTGTG